TGTGATCATTTGATGTAACAAGTACATTTATCTATAATGTTGGTAAAGTATAGCAACAGTGGTGAGAGACTCAATGAGCGACTCAACGCATTTCATTTAAGTGCCAGATTCTAATTTGTAACATGAGGTGCATTGCTTTAACCAGGTAGATTTATTGTGATATATAAAATCCAGGGGAAACTGGGCTCTATGGTATGTGTTTTTTTTTTTTTTTTTTAAAGCTGAACTCCAGGAAAACATACATTTCTCCCTTGCAGTGGGACTATGCCTGCACTGCAAGGGTTGACACTTCATTTTGGTATGCGAACTTGATAAAGCAATTATATTTACCCAATCCTCTGCACTGCTGCACCAGTCCTCAAAAGCTCTTCACCTCCATGGTCTGGTGGTCTAAGGTCCTCTGACATCAACACTGATGCAGGAGCCATATGCCTGCATTGGACATGAGGATGATGAAGGAGAGTCCACTGCTGGGAACAGTGCCATCTACTGGGGAAGCTGAGGACCAGATAAGTAAAAGTGCTTTTCCCTCCCCTAGACAGAAACTATCACTTAATGCACCGGTGTTAAACTGGTGGCCCTCCAGCTGTTGCCAAAATACAAGTCCCATGAGACATTGCAAGATTAGCAGTTACAAGCATGATTCCCAAAGGCAGATGGGACTTGTAGTTTTGCAACAGCTGGAGGGCCGCCAGTTTGACACCCCTGATATGACGCTTACAGCGCAAGGACACCTCCACAACAATGGGTTGTTTTTAGGTTTTCTTTGAGTTGGGCTTTAGTTGGCTTTGTACAAATAAAGCGTAAAAAAACAAAAACAAAACTTTTTGAACCAAATATTATGTATGGAGATCTTTGGGGTACTTTTAGAAAGTTCTAGAATGTCCATACCAATGCTTTTTTATGTGCACAACCTTGTTTACATGCACACACTATAAAAAATAAGGTGGTCTGGTCCTTAACAAACTGAAAAGCTTTGTCAGTGACAGTAGGTACATTGAAAAAAATTCACTGAACAGCAGTTACTATTCAGCTTTTCATTGTGAAGCCAAAGAAGAGGACAATTCATGAGTTTTACTCAATCCCATGTCGCCTAAACCAGGCTGCCATGTAATTCATGTATTGTGCTTTTCTTTTCATGAACAGCTTGCTGTAAAAAGCATTGCTGAGAGTCCAATAAACTTAATAGCTGTTGTTCTACTATGAGCGGAGACGTCTGCTAAGCAACACATGACCGCTGAAACTACCTGGTTAAGGGAGTTATTTGCTGTGTAATGCTTGGTGTGCCACATGTAGCTCATTCTTTACTGCACAAGAACACCCACGGTTTACTAAGGCTACTTTCACGCATTGGTGTTTGTGCCGTGGTTTTACACTGCTTGCGGTGCATCTTTTTAAATATGTGACTCAAAAACTGCACAAAAACGTGTGTTTTTTTAATGCATTTTTGCCATGTTTTTCATTGATTTCAATGGGGATGTGCGTTTTGGGTTGTTTTTTTAACGCATCAAAAATGGAGCAAGCAGGATTTTGAAAAACACTCCGGATCAGTGTGAAGAGTTCCATAGGAATACATGGTTAAACGATCCAATTTCTCCATCCACACAAACAAGGTGGATGGGGGAATCTGCTCCACTGGGCCTTGTATTCTGACAACAGGACTCTCCCACTGTCAGAGTCCCATTCAACAGAAAGTTGATCTAAAAATTGACTTCTGTCAAACAGGGATGGCACACATGGACTGAAATTTGGCCAGTCTCTGCTGAACCAATCTAATTTATTTAATCTATGGCCAGCATAACAAATGTATCTACAGGATTGTAATTTGACAGCTGGTAATGGCAACTGTCAGAATACCCAAACAATGCTTGCATCTGATTTCTCTAACAATTTTCCACCCGACTCTTTGAATTTATTTTCACTTTCAATAGGTTTTTATTGAAGGATACATAGCATAATACAAATATATAAAAGTAAGCAACATATGGAAGAATTCCAGAGCGCATCTCTAAATCAGTGGAGACGAAAAAAATAGAAAATCAATGAGTATGGCAAGTTGCTGCATACTGGATTTAGGCAAGCAAGAGATTGATCGATTTTCTTCCCCATGGTGGAAGGAAAGAAAAAATTGCTTTATTCCCCCATCAACATAGTCAGTGTGGAAGGAAATGAAATGAAATCCGCTCAATGTATGGCCAGCTTAACACTTATAATTTGGGACTTTGCTGCCTCAGAAGATGATGCAGAAATGGACACAGCAGGCCCTCCTATAATTAACCGTTAATCACTAATAAAATCAATAGTCTGCCTGCCAATGCAACGTCAAGAGCAACACTGGCTGTGTTCTAAACAATGCAGATGTTTCAAAGACATGGATTTTACTTTTAAGGTATGGAAAAACTACATGTTGGGCGAACAGTGGAGAAATTGGCAGGGCAGGTTGTATAAATGTGGCAAATCAATGCAGGACATAATGCTATCATTACTTGTACACGGCCAGAAACACTATCCATAGACATAGGATAACATCACCTGATCTAGCTGGGGGGGTGGTACAGAGTGACTTTATAGAATGGAAGGGGCACCTTTTACATGATCTCAGCTGAAAGGTTTGGGCCAGGGTGTGACATTCATACAAAGCGGACCTTGAATGAATGGCAATTTTCACCTTTGGCTAAGTTCAGGTGGCAAATGCTCTAGCCTCTGGTCGTGTGACAAGCATCGAAGGAAAAAAAATATATGATGCAGTTTGTTTTGTAGTATTAGAACTGGGAAACAAGGACAGAAAATTGTCACCTTATAACAGGAAGTGCCCTGAACAATGACTTTTATGGCAGGATCATCAAGTATAATTTAATGACAGCTGCAGATTCAGAGAAAATATATATTAATGTGGTAACGTTTATATGAGATTTTAGCTTGTGAGATTATATATGGAGAGTTTGTGTCCTGCAAGACAGTAGTAGGTTTTAAATTCTGAGAATGTTGTGTTTTGTTACAGGTGTATCCTGGTTTCCATTTTCCCATTCCTTATTGTTGGTAATTGAAATGAGTCATGGTGTAGGCAGCATGATTTTTTAGGGTAGTGACTCAGTATAAGTGAACAAGCAATAATATGGCCTGGCAAGTAACATAGGGACCTATTGTAAATGCCATTTGAATGCATGCATGAGTTTACATTTAAATAACCCCTAAGCCTCCAGTTAAAAATGTGAGGTTACTATGTTAAACCTAGTAAACACAAACAGAAAATTGTATGAAAAATACTGCTTTCAAAGTGATTGTATGCTAATCTGATCATTAGTACACAGATTTCGTCTGTAACTGACTGAAGGGACAAGCATGAAAATTTTTCTTGTATGATACCAGATCGTATGACTTTCGTTTAAGCAGTACAGTTTTCGCTCAAAAAATACAATACAAATACATTACATCATTTCTAATTTTTTTTTCTGTCGTACAAGAATTTTCATAACTTTAGTAACCTTTTCGCTTTCGATGACACTAGCATGCACAAAATTAAAAAAAACAGAGACAACCATTCGTCCAATATTCTCTTCATGTATGGAGCTTTAGGACTGAAATGAAAAAAAAAAAATCCTAAATGTAGATTGCAGTAGATAAGATATCACAATGCAATCTGCTTCACATATTGTATGATGTGACAAATGGGCTCATTTCAAACCGAAACGGAAATTTGGGGCTACTGTGGCATGTCAGATCTGGAAATAGTTACAGGTGCAAGTCATTCAGATGGAATTTAGTTCAGTTATTTTAGTTTCTCAATATAGATTGGTTGTAACTTGTACAATACAGATTATATATATATATATATATATATATATTTATATATATATATATATATATATATATATATATATATATATACACACACACACACACACACACACATACATACACACACATACACATACACACACACACACACACACACACTATATTGCCAAAAGTATAGGGACAAACTCTCCTGCGCTCTAAGACCCAAAGGAGGTGGATAGATGGAACCAGAACTTGAAAAAATTGGACCACCTTTGCATATGGATTTGTGCAGCTCCAAAACAAGGCTGGGGAAGCCCGACCAATACTGTGAAGCAAACACAAAAAAAGAAGAAGCGCACCAACCTTGCACATTACCTCAGTAAACCAATTTTATTGAATACAAAAAAATATACTCACAAACATAGAAGTATTTCAAGCATGTCAGTTCTCAAAGAAACTATGAAACGGAAAGACCTGCGTGAGTCCCATCATAGGGTTGGACACTCAGGGATCAACTGACGCGTTTCGCAGGATGTTCCTTCTTCATCAGAGCTTGACTAGACAATGAGTGTTTTCTTCCATATATACTCTCTATAATTAGAACCGGACCCTCCCTACTGGGATGGGCCATCTGCGCTATCAGCTTAGCTGGTGTTGTCATTTTATTCTGTTGACACCTTGGCCCCTCCTCCCATCCGAAGATGACCCATCCCAGTAGGGAGGGTCCGGTTCAAATTATAGAGAGTATATTTTTTTGTATTCAATAAAATTGGTTTACTGAGGTAATGTGCAAGGTTGGTGCGCTTCTTCCTTTTTTGCCTTTGCCTCAAAAGTATAGGGACACCCGCCTTTACACGCACTTGAACTTTAATGGCATCCCAGTCTTAGTCCGTAGGATTCAATATTGAGTTGGCCCACCCTTTGCAGCTATAACAGCTTCACCTCTGGGAAGGCTGTCCACAAGGTTTAGGAGTGTCTATGGGAATGTTTGACCATTCTTCCAGAAGAGCATTTGTGAGGCCAGGCACTGATGTTGGACAAGAAGGCCTGGCTCGCAGTCTCCGCTCCAATTCATCCCAAAGGTGTTCTATTGGGTTGAGGTCGGGACTCTGTGCAGGCCAATCAAGCTCCTCCACCCCAAACTCACTCATCCATGTCTTTATGGACCTTGCTTTGTATGCAGTCCTGTTGGAACAGGCAGGGGCAATCCCCAAACTGCTCTCAAGTCCAGTGGCGGCATGCTTTACACCACTGCATTCGACGCTTTGCACTTGGTGATGTATGGCTTGGATGTAGCTGCTCGGCCATGGAAACCCATTCCATGAAGCTCTCAGTGCAGTGCTGTTGTTCTAATATGAAGGCAACACGAGTCTTTAGCTATTGACTCTGCAGACAGTTGGTGACTTCTGCGCACTGTGCTCTTCAGCATGCACTGACCCCGCTCTGTCATTTTACATGTCCTACCACTTCATGGCTGAGTTGCTGTTGTTCCCAGTTCCTTCCATTTTGTTACAATACCACTAACAGTTGACGAGGGAATATTTAGTAGCAAGGAAATTTCACAGATGGACTTATTGCACAGGTGGCAACCTATCACGGTACCACGCTTGAATTCACTGAGCTCCTGAGAGCATCCCATTCTTTCACAAATGTTTGTAGAAGTAGTCTGCATGCCTAGGTGCTTGATTTTATATACTTGTGGTCATGGAGGTGATTGGAACACCTGAATCCAATGATTTAGAGAGGTGTCCCAATACTTTTGGCAATATAGTGTGTGTGTGTGTGTGTGTGTGTGTATAAACACACACACACACACACACATACACACACACACACACACACACACACACATAAATACATACACACACTCGCTTCTTTATTTGGTAACAAATTGCCAATAACTCAATGCATTTAGGCATCTAGACATGAAGACGACTTGGTGAAGCATCAGAATGAGGAGGAAAGGGGATTTAAGTGACTCTGAACGTGGCATGGTTGTTGGTACCAGGCAGGGTGGTCTTGAGTATTTCAAAACTGCTGATCTACTGGGATATTCACTCACAACCACATCTAGGGTTTACAGAGTATGGTCTGTAAAGAGAAAATATCCTGTCAGCGGCAGTTGTGTGGACAAAAATGCCTTGTCAATGTCAGTGGTCAGAGAAGAATGGTCAGACTGGTTCGAGAGGATAGAAAGGCAACAGTAACTCAAATAACCACTCATTACAACCAAGGTATGCAGAATACCATCTCTGAACGCACAACATGTCAAACCTTGAAGCAGATGGGTTACAGCAGTAGAAGACCACACTAGGAGCCACTCCTGTCAGCTAACAACAGGAAACAGAGGCTACAATTCACATAGGCTCACCAAAATGGGACATCAGAAGATCGGAAACACATTGCCTGGTCTTGATTTCAGCTGCGACATTCAGATGGTAGGGTCAGAATTTGTCGTAAACAACATGAAAGCATGGATTCATCCTGCCTTGTATGAACGGTTCAGGCTGGTGGTGGTGTAATGGTGTGGGGGATATTTTCTTGGCACACTTTGGGTCCCTTACTACCAATTGAGCATTGTTTAAACATCACTGCCTACCTGAGTATTGTTGCTGATCACGTCCATCCCTTTGTGATTACGGTGTACTAATCTTCTGAAGGCTACTCCCAGCAGGATAATGCCCCATGTCAAAAAGCTCAAATCATCTCAAACCGGTTTCTTGAACATGACAATGAGTTCACTGTACTCCAATGGCCACCACAGTCCCCAGATCTCAATCCAAGAGCACCTTTGGGATGTGGTGGAATGGGAGATTAGCATCATGGATGTGCAGCCAACAATTCTGCAGCAACTGCATGATGCTATCATATCAATATGGACCAAAATCTCTGAGGAATGTTTACAATACCTTGTTGAATCTATGTCACAAAGAATTAAGGCAGTTCTGAAGGTAAAAGGGGGTCCATCCCGGAACAAGCAAGGTGTACATAATAAAGTGGCCAGATCTTGATTTCTCGGTTGACCTTCCTTTCAATCACTGCTGTCAAGTGTGACAAGTTGTTCCTCCATGGCTTAAATGTGGTCTATCTATATTGAATGATCCATGTTTTTTCTTTTTCCACTGACCCCTTTTTAAGGAATGTACTGGAAACCTCCTTGTGAGCATACGAAGATAACGCTACCAGAATTCTACAAGTCCCACAGATTTGAAGAGGCCACCACACAATAGCTGGCTCAGTTCACAAAGTGTAAGGGTTCATGTACACTGCAGCTGCTAAACTGATGTTCAGGAGCTTTTGAGTGTTTTTTTTTTCAGCAGCCCCTGAACTCTCCTTTATGTTTTCCTATGTGTCCATGTACAAATAGTAGTTCACAGGCAGTTGAGTTTACAGTGTTTTTCTTGAACGCACAAAAATGGGGTTCAGGAATAGATGTTACCGGCGTTTCAGACACCAAACGCTTGTAAACGCAGTCAACCGCGTTTACAAGCGTTTGCGTTTAGACGCGTTTTTTGACAGGTTCATATAAAGATGCTGTCCAGAGCCTTTCTTCTTATTCAAAAATGCATGCAAAGCATTTTCCACGTATTCAAATGGACCTGGCACACTAGTGCAGTCAGTTCCAGGTTTCGTGTGAAGAAAAAAAAAAAAATGGTAGAACGTGCTGCATTATGCTCATGATGGGATCCATAGTGAATACAACCAGAAAAGACGTCATCTCAACATATACTGCTCTCTCTGCTTCTGCTCTCTCTATTTCTCTCAAAATGTCTGAAATGGTTATTTACTATTTTTAAGTGCATTCTGGGCATTTGGGAGGGTCTCCTGAGGTTATCTTTTAAGAACGCTTCTAAACACAAACGTGACTAAACGCGGTATGAAAACGTGGCTAAACTGCCATTTTTTTAACCTACGTTTTCCAGCAGTCAGTTTCCAGTGGTCAGAAGAGTTTTCCACGTATAAAGCGGCTAAGCGTGGTATGCAAAAGCTGCTAAACTGCCATTTTTTTAAACTACGTTTTCCAGCAGTTAGTTTCCAGCGGACAGAAGAGTTTTCCAAACGCCCCGTGTTCATGAGCCCTTACACACTAAGGATCCATATTATTTTCTGTTACGACTGTATTTTGTAAATCTCATTTGACTCACTGGATAACAATAACTGTCATTTTCGTGAAAATAATCATCCTTCTTTTAGCTTAGTGAAGGCAGCTAAATGCATCATATTATCCAAAATAACCTTGGCTAAGAGAATGTGATTTACTAGCAGGACAAATATGCGAACAGATCGCTCATAATTTAGAGCAACCTGTAAACATAGGCCGTTTATTTCAGAAACTGGCTCGCTGGGAAAACAAGCCAGGAATTCCTGTGAAGCTCTATGTGCAGAGCCTGATCGGCTCACATTCCTGCATCCCTTCATGCACAGATACCACTGCCTTTGTTCTAAACTGCTGGGGAGATTCCCATTCTGGTGGGATCTTACATTCCACACCAGAAATAGGTCAAGGCACAATTTTGAAGCACAGCACAAGCAGGCTGGCTGATAATTAACATGTTCGTTGATTTAAATTAGCGGAAAACTGGACTTAGGGCTTGTTCACACCATAGTCCTTGTATTACATGCACATGATAGGATGCCTTTTTAAGTTGTGTCGTCTTGCATACTATAATGATGCGCTGAAGAACGTCCCACCGTTGCAGTACAATAGGAAATAGGACTTGTCCTTGCCCAGGGACAGCCCTTAGTCCAGTACTGCTGGTGTGAAGAAGCCTTGAAACTCTTCAGAGCAGAAAAATGGTTCTTCTCTGACTGCAGCTTAATCAGTAGACAAAGATATGAGACAGACACTGGGCAAAGGACAGTTAAGTCATTTGAGAGAAAGATTTTCTACATCCTATGATAGATACCCATGGGCAGTTGTTACCCCACATTGGATAACTGGCTTTATTATAACATAGTACAACTGTATCAAATTAAAGACAAAACTTTTGTTTCCATTTTGGATAGAGTGCCTTTGTTCACACTTGTGTGGACCGTGTGGCCCTCGTTTGCACAGGCAAGGCAACTCATTATTTTGAATGGGATGCTGTGCCTGCGTCTTCTGCAAAAAAACAAAAAACTTTTTAAAACATTTCGCATGCACCTTTTTAAAAATGTGGCTGTAGGGAAACCGCATGGTTCTTTTTGACCATGACATTTCCCTGTGGTTCCTGCACCCAAAAAATGCACTGTGGTGAGATGCATGGAGGTGTCATCCAGAATGTCTCATAAGAACAGCGCGGGTATGGGAAAAAGTGCAATTCCTGCACCTGTAACCAGCCTGCACAGTGTGAACTAGGGCTTAGGCTGCATTTACAAGACCACAGACGTGGGGATAGTTTACCACATTCAAAGGCTGCTAAATGTGGCCTCTGGATGGCCACATGGATGGGGATAGTTTACCACATTCAAAGGCTGCTAAACGTGGCCTCTGGATGGCAGCATGGATGGGGATAGTTTGCCGCATTCATAGGCTGCTAAACATGGCCTCTGGATGGCCGCATGGATGGGGATAGTTTGCCACATTCAAATCTGCTAAACATGGCCTCTGGATGGTCACATGGATGGGGATAGTTTGCCACATTCAAATCTGCTAAACATGGCCTCTGGATGGTCACATGGATGGGGATAGTTTGCCACATTCAAATCTTCAAATAGCAGCCGGTTTGCGTGTGGTCAAAACTCGGCAGAAATGCTGACCGTTGATCCACACTGGCCACATCCAGGATTGGTCAGAAGCTCTATTTGCATGAAACTGTTCAGGTGAGAAGTTACATGCAAACAGCAGTGGAGCTGGCCATTGATCTGTACAGAGTACAAATCGGATAGCTACTGCTGTTCACACACAGTGTAATTCTCGCTGGCATCCACCCATGTGCAGCCGAGTGAATGTTGCCTTATACCCTCTTTTTTGCCATCTGTGTCCCATTGGGGAGATTCCCCATCACTTCCTGTCCCATAGCCAAAGCAGGATGTAACAGCAAATCCCTGCAAAAAGTGAGGGACTAGTGTCCCTATTGGAAGATTTCCCATCTATTCCTGTTCTAGTGACAACCCAAAATGTTGGATTTCCCTTCGGTGGGTGAATGAGGGCGAATTTCCCTCATGTGGGCAAAGGCACCGATATAAAACTGACAGGCGGACAACTTTATCCAAACTTAAAAATTACGTTTTGTCTTCAGCTATCCTGAGCTCCATTGATCTCTATGCAATCGAGTGTACACGTTTAAAGGTTACTAGTAGAGACCAAAACATTCTTAGGCAACCAAACACCTAGCACTTGATTTGGCATATAGAGCATACCTAAATATCCCTCGAATCACCCATTGCACCTAAAGTTGTACTAAATGCATTCTCTGCATTCAGATAAAACCTTTTGTGCCACAGGATCCCCCTCCCCCAAGATACTTACCTGAGCCCGATCAGGATCAAGCACTGTGCACAAGAGCAGTGCCTCTCGCCACTCTCTTCCCCCTCAAAAGGACACAGAGGCAGAAGCAGGAGCCAAAGTCTGTGAGGAGAGAGTGGGGCTGAGCC